GTGGCTGTGTGTTTTACTTTTCCCTTGCTTTCAGCTTTCTCTGTTGCGTCTGACCAAGTAGCTTCTGCCCGTGTGTGCCTTTTGGTTTTCTTTATCTCTCTGTGCATGGCATTTGAGTGCGTTGTCTCTGTTTCTGTGTTTCTGCGTGTATGCTGCTGCATGTTTTTGTTTTGTCTGCGAGTATCTGGCTCTATTTCCTTTATTCTGCATATACTTTTTGTGTTTTTGTGTATTTGCTTCTGCATGCTTCTGCTCGTGTTCTGCATTTCTGTGCATTTGCTTCTGCGTGCTTCTGCCCGTGTGTGCTTGGTGCTTTCGGCGTCTGCAGCTCAGGTTTCTTCATCTCTTTGTGCTGACTGTGTTCGTGGGTTTCGTGTATGTGCGAGACTGCTCTGCTCTCTGCTGTTCTTGCTTTCTTTTTGGTCTGTTTATGTCTAACCGAGAGTGGAGAGATTTTGGATTATTATATATATTTAAAAAAAACTATAATTCTTTTCTTTTTTATTTTTGATCATGTTTATTAATTTCTGAAATTAATTTAAGGGACAAATATTTTTTGAAAATATAACCATAAAAAGGATTAAATTTTTCATATTTTTATATATTTTTTGTCTTTTTTTTTGAACTAAAAGAATTAAAATCCTAGCCAATAAAAGATTATCTAAAATAAAATTAAATCCTATCAATTAAATTAATTTTTTTTTGAAAATATAATCCTAAAAAAGATTAAATTTTATTTTTATATTTTTATATTTTTTAGTTATTTATTATTATTATTTTATTAAATTTAAAATGTCCGGATAAAATATGGTGTTCACAGTACTAAATACCCCTCAAACTCCATTAAAGTTGCCAGTTAAAAGGTCATTAAGCTTGAATATATCTCAATGTTTCATTTTGCAAAATTTGACCTTGGCTCTCAGGGTTGAAAATGTAACCTTACTGGCTTCAACCTTTTTTTTAATTTAAAAATATAAAAAACATGTTTATAATTAATAAAAGTTATTATACATAAGACGAAGTTTATGAAAATAAATTTAAGTTAATCCACACCACAACATACATGTAAAATTTAAACATTCAAGTCTAATATCATAAATAGCAACATTAAAATCAACAATAATAAACATTACACTTTGTTAGCATTATTAGCTAAATATTTTCAATTATAAAACTTAAGTATGGATTGATACAAATAAATTTCTAGTTCAAACTTGTACGTGAAAAAAGAAAATCATCTATATTTATATAAATCATCCATACTTGTAAGGGTAAAAGACAAGGTAAGGGGAAAGTAAGGAAAGAAGTGAAGGTGGGGACTTCCAACTTTATTCATGGAATCGAAGTAAATGGACGAGGGAAGGAGGAATGAGTCTATGGTATTGGGTTTTCCCTTCTTTAATTTTAGTTTGTGTTTTTTTTATTAAAGTATATTTTTATCTTTAAATTATTCTCTAAGGAGCACCCAGTGTTATAAATTATTTGCCTTTATCATTAAATACTTTAACTTAACCATTAAAAATACCGATAAGGACTTAACTTGAATTAAAAATGCCACCTATCACACCATATGGATTTAAGTTAAGGTTTATTTTATTCATGAATTATTCTTTGAGGAGTACTCAATGTTTTAAACTATTTGTGTTATAATAATTTTGCTTTCAAAGTAATTAAAACGGGAAAAAAATGCACATTTACTTGAATTCACTTGACATATCAAGTGGCATTTTCAATCTAACAAATATCCTAGTTAGCATCTTTTGATAGTCAATATTTGAATATTCAATGTCAAGGACAAATAAATTATATTTTAATTATTTCAAGACATTATGTGCTCATTAAAAATAATTTATAACTAAAAATGCACATTGATCATTTATTTTTTTGATATTGAAAATTAAAAAGAGCTTGAATTTTTATTTTTGAGTTTAAAAAAGACTCATCCAAATTATCATTTTCTATCTTAAAATAGCAACCTGACTCCAGTCTTTTTAAACTTGAATTATCATTTTCTATCTTAAAACAACAACTCAGTCTTAATTATAATATAAAAACATGGACAGTTTCACTTGAATTTTTGAGAAACTCTTTAAAAACTAGTCAAATTATAATAATTATATAGAGCTGCGTCATTAAAATTATTTATAAATCACTTGATCTTTTCAATATCCCATCCCCTTGGCTCGTATAGGAATTGTAGCACTCTCATTTTTTTTTTTCCTTTCGTTTCGCTAATATATATTGGTTTTGGTCTATTGGATTTCTTATCTCTCTATTTTGTCATTATTTTCCATCTCTTCTACATATCTTTCATGCTTTACATTTAAAATCTAAGTATTTCACTTAAAATCCTATTCAAACTAATATACTATCTTCTAATAAAAAATTCGTTGATTATTAATATCTTTTGCATATTTCAGTAAAGGAATCTAATTTAACAATCAATGTGATAAAATAGAACAATAAATTTATTTTTTAAAACAATTGTTATGATTTTTTTAACAAAATTAGACACACTTGATATTATGCAATGAAACGTATATTTATGATCTGTATATGATGATCAATGATAAATTAGCAATTACTGCCAATAAAAAAAATGTAATATACTTACAAGAAAAAAACTAAATAAGAGAGTGCACACCAACCATCACGCGGAGAATTTTTTTTTGGGGGACATTCGTTAATAATTACTTTTAAAACTAAGAAAGCAAAAAAAAAATGAAAACTAATATGAGTTCACTAGATAGTACTTTCAAAATAAATTTAATCAAAACCAGGATGCAGATTGTGAAACAAAAGAAAAGACTATCAAGTGCAAAACTCAATTGCATCATTATTATATATTTCCTGCATGTATTAGTTCCTGCAACAATAATACACAAAAAAAGGGTATGAATAGATACCCGCGAGAATGACAGAATAAAAACCATTTAGTATTGGTTGTGCAAGCATTCCAGTGCTCAAGGGGATATGCGATGCTTTATGAGGTGACAAAACATGTCTGTCAATATTAAAAATAGATCATGAGAAAACGAGACATCACGATGCTCAACACCCTGCCATCACAACGAGTATAAGATCAAACGAAGATTATCATTTGCCCATAACTGATTCTCCCTTTGTTTGCCATCTCCCCCTTTCCTTGCACACTCATCATCCCCTCTCCTCATGCAATCTCGTGGAATAAAAGAGCCTCGTCCATAAACAAATTTCAAAGTAAGAAGAAAATTTTCCAAGGCCATCTCTGACTTAGCTTTTAAGCATCACACCCAAAAAATATCATCTCTCTCTGCCCCCTTCATTCCCTCTCCCCTCGTGTCTCCTTCAACCCCACCCTTTCTCTCTCTCACAAACACTTGCGCTTTTTCCTCTTGATCATGCATGCACGTGGTTTCTTGAGAGCATGCCAAGGACGTCGGAGCAGTCACCGAATTTGGTGATAGTGGGAAGCACCATCTCTGTTTCTAATATAAAAAACAAGGGAGAACAGGACCCAAGTCGATGAAGAACAATAAATCGATGGCCAATGCCATCCCTGCAATAATGACAACAATCTGTCCCACAATTGCACGCCATCCTATTAGAGCTGGATATAATCGTCACAGTTAGTGGAGTGAAAGATAGGAACGCCAACTTGAGTGCAAGCATAGCACTTGATAAAGGCAATGAAGGCATGGAGTTTGGTTATAGGAGAAAAAGACCCGCAAAGAACATGTCATCGTCCTCAATCCTTGATTTGTGCCCTGAGTAGTGGAAAACCAGCGAGTCCCCTGCCTTGCAGGCATGCTTGGTGAGCTTGTAAAGGAATGGAGGAGAGAGGAGTAGAACCTCTTTCTGCCTTGCATGCATGCTTGACGAGCGAGTCACCTTGCCTTACATGCACGCATACGACTCCTTTAATCCTCTATGACAATAATTCCTGCACCATGAGCCAAACTAGAGGGGGATAAAGGAGGAGCAGTAGTTGCAGAGATGATAAAGGAGGAGTTGGTGAAGAAGAAGAAGAAATGGTGCAAGACTCATAGTTCACCTTGGTCACCTTCGCCGCATCATGTTTGTTCTTCTGGAAGTTGAACATTGCGCAAATCTCTGATGGTGTAAGTTATAAATTTGGAGGAAGGAGATGATGCTGAAGCTGGTGTTAGTGAGGGAGCTTTCATAGGTGCAACGGATTTCATTGGACAGAGAGAGGGAGAAAAATATTAAAAATGATTGGTGAGACCCACTTAAATATTTTATAATAAAAAATATTAAAAAAATTTAAATGCAAACCCCACAAATGAATAAAATGGATGGGAAAGGGTAATACAACAAAGAATCTTTGAGTTTGAGATATAAATTTGATTCATAATTGAGTTTATGATTATTTATATTTTGTAATCCTTTGTGTGCATTTTAAGGATGTTTTCAACTCTTAACCCTTATTTTTATTGTGTGACAAACACTAGTGAGGTTTATATTTGAAGAATGGATAAGAATTACGGTCCTTCATTTTCTTTTTTTGCAATTTTTAATGAGTATATGATAAAAATGTATAATGTATGAGTGAGAGAAAGTATTTTTTTTAACCACGATGCATTTAACAAAGGTTATTCATTTTTTTAATTTGCCGTGGAATAAAAAAGAAAAGCGCTTGTGACTAGCGCTGCATGCACAGGCTTTTCACCGAATTCTACTTCTTTTACGGTTTTGGCCTATTGTTAGCATAATTATACATGTATATTTCTTTACATCTAGATCTCAAGATTCCAAAATCTGTCATATCTTTTTTTTGGCCAAATAAAGTCAATTTTATTAATCAATAAAAAAAATTACAATCACTAACAACGGAAACCAAAACAAACATTCAAACAAACTAACATCATATCGAACCTATGAAATGACATCATATCCAAAATGCGTGCATGTACCACAGTTCACGGTCTCAATCAAATTTTCCAACCAGTTTCTTTGATATCTTGATTTCCTAATGCTTTTCTTTTCTTATTCAAATTCAACACAATGAAAAGAACACACTTTTTTCTTAGTCTTGTTTTGCAAGGGTTTCGAGTTCACAGTTTGTTTCAGCTCTCGACCCTGCGCGACTGCAAATTTAGGATTAACACTGAACTACAAAGGCAAGGAAGCCTGTTTATCCGCTGCTCTGTTGCAGGAGCTAAGACTAAACAGGGCCGTGTACGTCCCTTTAAGGGATCCATCCTCTAGGGTCCAAAAAAGGCATATTGGGCCCGTAGAACCCCAGGAAATTTGAGGAAAAAAAAAAATTCACAGCCGTTTTCTCTGCGAGTAGCTCGAGACTCAAGCTTTGAAGTCTCTGAGCTTGTACAATGGACGACGGCACCCGATTCAGAAGCCGAGAAACCGCAGTTGCCCAATCGGTGACTCCATCGTCTCCTCCGCCGAGATCAGAAGTCTTAACCCAAAAGTTTATGGACAATCCAAAGGTACCCTTGGCCGTTGCTCTGGTTTTTGTGGATGCCATCCTTGCCTTTCTCATCATCACATTTGTCCCGTGTAAGTTCAACATGGATGTACCTTTTATATTTTCCACAGTCGGCTAAATGACTGTAGGCTGTACGGTCAATAAACCTTAGCCATTTCACTAATCTTATGGGAGATTGCATGCCATGGTCGTGACTTCTAATCATGAAGAAACCATGAAATACATTGTTTTGAGTGTATTTTAAATATCCCCTCAGAATATATTACTGAACCAAATCAAAGCATGAGTTCAATTTCTTTTTGGCACGAGAAGCATCAGTTTAATTTCTTTTGCTGCTAGAAGTATCACTCTCTTCAGCCAATAAATAAATATGGCATACAATCCCCAAATGAATTATTCGAATGACTTCATTTTATTAACTATGCATATCGTACAGTCATTTAGCCAACTGCAGAGAATCCACATCCGTTCAACATTCTGTTCATTTTATCGTGTATTCGGACCTCTTCGGGGGAGGTTTTTGGGTACCACTTGACTGCTGATGTTTGTCGATGTCTTTCATTGCAGATACAAAGATAGATTGGGACGCTTACATGTCACAGGCAAGTGTCTTTTTGAGCTATTGGCCAAACAAATGAAAGAGTCTTTTTTGGGCTTGAATGTCTCTGTCTGGTTCACTATAGGTGAAACTAGACAGCCAATACGCCATCCAGATGAATTTCAAGTAGCATGACTGTGTTTTTATTGAGTGCTCGGTTGACTTTAAAATGTTCAGTTCCGGTTAAGGGACATGCAGGCCTAAAATTTTCAATTCTTCAGATGTCCCCGATCCTCATGGCCTATATTCGGAAGTTTTAATTGAATTACCGGGTTTGCTGAATCCATATCATAAATTTGTAGTCTAATGCTGCTTCATCAAACAGGTTACTGGGTTTCTTGGAGGAGAAAGAGATTACAGGAACCTCAAAGGGGATACTGGGCCTCTAGTCTACCCGGCTGGATTTCTATACATCTATTCTGCATTCCAGTATCTTACTGGAGGAGCAGTGTATCCAGCTCAGGTTATTGGATACAGCCAATGCTTTCAGAATTTATTTCCTGATAATAATAAATTTTCTTGCTTCATGTTGCTTTGCTGATGCACTATTACATTAAAAGTGCATGTTAGTCAGATCTGGACAGCTATAAGAAAGAAAACCTCCCTCCCATTGATGGCAGTTGTTTTCCCCAATCAAAATGTACCATAACATTTTCACATGAAAAAATTTTCAATACCAAAAGCATTTTCTGCATTTTGCTAGAAAGGCCAATCAAACCAGTCATTATGTTTCTATGTCTTCTTGCACCCAATTTTACAGGCATGGTACTGGAATTGGTAAAAGGCACACATAGCTTCCTGTGCGCAGAGCCCTTTTATGTAGCATAGCTCTAAATAATGCCGACTATATCACTGATGCAGAACTCTTTCCTTCTTACTGGCTTCATGAAAAACATTTTTGAGGAAGTTGGACCCTTCATTATAATGATTTTCAGATCACTGGTTACTAAATGCATGAAAGAATTGTTGAAGAAATCATCACACGTTTCTCTTCTGTCACTGCAGATTTTGTTCGCATTTTTGTATACTCTTAATCTGGCAATCATTCTCTTAGTGTATGTGAAGACTGACGTGGTAAGGAAACTGATTTCTGTTGTTGCGTTTTCCCCTTAAAATGTGGCTATATTTAGGTGGTTGCGTTTAACAAGCAAAATCTTCAACTCGCTGTTCTTGTTTTCAGAACTATTCAACGAAAAATTTAATGCTTTACATTGGCTCATGTCTTTCAGAAATTATTGTAACTTACACATTGCCTTTATCCTTGCATGTTGTCTAATTTCTATAACTCAACCTGTGTAATAACTTTTGTGGTTTCTAGAATGACCTTTGCTGCTAGTCCCCCCCCCAACCATCGTTTGTTTTCTTTTTCATGGCATTGATAACAGTTTTCATGGCTCTTGAAACGTCTGACAGGTTCCATGGTGGGCCCTTTGCTTACTTTCTTTGTCAAAAAGATTGCACTCTATTTTCATGCTTCGCCTCTTTAATGACTGTGTGGCCATGACACTTCTTCATGCTGCTTTGCTCTTAATCATTCACCAAAGGTGGCATCTTGGTTTAATTATGTTCAGGTAATGGTTGGTTTCCTGAGCTCATCTTCCTATCCGTTAAAATTTTTACAGGGCTTTTCATATTTATTTGTTAGTGGGGCTGTTTCGGTGAAGATGAATGTGCTTCTTTATGCTCCACCCTTATTGCTGCTGATGCTAAAGGTACACTATATAAAATTTAGTGCATTGTATTATTATCTTGGAATTTGGGTGTAGAATTTTTTCAATTAGCATTGTTTTCTTCAAACACATGCAGGCTATGGATATAAGCGGGGTGTTATTGGCATTAGCTGGTGCAGCATTGGTTCAGGTGTTTGACTCTGTTGTTTGATTCACTGTGTATGTTTTATTGTGTCATAATCTTTAAAATGTAATGTGGCAACAAGCTTCCTCCTTTTGCACTACAAGCTGTTGTTTCTTTCCTCAAACATCGTGCTTTACGAAGTGAATAATCTTTTGATTCATGGAGACTGCTGTATGTCATTCTTTAACATTCTTTTCACACAATCAATTGAGTTGGACTTTGTTAAAATGCAATTGGTGGGGAAGGGTGATCTCTGTCCAATATTAGTGTCATTTGTTAACACCTAAGTGGTTAAATGCTGCTGCAGATATTGTTGGGACTTCCTTTCCTAGCTTCATATCCAGCTGCATATATATCAAGAGCCTTCAATCTTAGTCGTGTCTTCATCCATTTCTGGTACTTGTTTCTGGAGTTTGGCTTTTGATATATGCTTAATAGCCATGAACTCTGCTAGCAAATTTAACGTTACACTGTAATTAAGAAGCCTTTTCGAGTCAAATGTTGATTGATTGTTTATGAATGGAAGAGGGGAATAAAGTTGATTCAAAATTTCATTTTATACAGAAATTGGTAGCAACCTTTTGGCACAATGGAATATATTTACATAAGTGCACCCAGATTTTCACTGAAACAATACATTAGCAAATGAGCTAAGAAGTTTGCTGTCTTGACTGGCAAACGAATTGATACTCTGTTCAGTTTTTTACTCTCAATCTTGTCGAAAGTGCCAAAGTCTGCATTATAGTGGGACCCTTGAACATTGTTAACACTCCTTTCTTCAGGCTGCATAATTGAATATCTATACCAGTTCACTTTATGTGATAATGCCTCGATTCATATGTGCTTTCACATGCATTTCTTTTATTGATCCAAATTGGTGTCTCTCTGATACATACTTTTTGATTGCATGTTATCAGGTCTGTTAACTTCAAGTTTATGCCTGAACCAGTCTTCATATCCAAAGGATTTGCAATCTTTTTGCTGGCCGCTCACCTCATATTACTTGCTTTGTTTGCACACTGTAGATGGTGCAAGTAGGTATAAAGTCCCCCTGGGGGAGGGGAGGGGGAAAAAAAATTAGGAAAGGGGTTGTTGTATTTGTATTTGAAGAACATATTTGTAAGCTTTGAAAAGAGATGGCTGCAATTTTGATAATTATTATAGTCAAAGTTATGCATTTCATTAGTTCTTATGCTTCTGTTTTAGTGCGATAGTCAAATCTTGCTCCATTGGGACAAGTAGGCTTCTAGTTTAGTTGAGTTTAACATGTGGATGTGGCTTGCTATTTTATATATGTTTGCATGTTTAATTTCTTGCAGGCATGAAGGAGGGCTTCTCAATTTTCTGCATTCCAAATACGTCTCTATGAGGCTAGGGTTTGCGCTTTTCTTTTCTTCCTCATTTAAAAAGTTTGGCAAGACCAATTCATCATCCTTGAAGGTTCTTACTAAAGAACGTGAGTAATGAATCTCAGAAAATTTAGTGAGGACTAGATTCTACTTTTGACTAAAGTTGAAGCTACCTTCCTCCTCTGAATTTTCATTTCTCTTCTTCATGCTCTTCTTTTAAATACTAAATCTTGCCTTATGCTCAGATATCATGACAACAATGTTTGTTGGAAATTTCATTGGCATTGTTTGTGCAAGGTCGTTGCACTATCAATTTTATTCATGGTAAGTTCTGCTGAAAATAATCCTTGCCTGATTTTTGCTATAAGCTCTAGATGCAAAAGTTGCTTGCCTCATTCCTGACTGTGGTAGCTTGTAAGATAATTTTCGTATCAGTTTTATAAATTTTTGAAGACATTCCTGGTAGAATTATTATGGTCTAATCCTTATTATTTATGTAATGACTGCTTATAATTTTTTTGGTGAATAGAAGATGTCTTTTGGGACTTGGGGTGTAAATTCTTACCTGTGAGCCTTCTCTTCTTTCATGTTTTTCTCAGTTATGCTGGTATTTCATCTGAGAGTTGTCTTATTTATCATTTATTATGCACATACATGTGAACTATCTTCTTCGCATTGATGACCAATTAGCAATTATTCCTAGTTTCCTTTACTTTGCTGAATCGACCTTGAAAGTAAACCAAATATTATGAACATCTTGCCTAACACAAATATACAGATGATTCACTCTTCCACAGTTGTTTATTATCCGTCAAGTGCAATGGTGCCAATTAACGTTACTTCGCTAATGGTATGTGATACAGGTATTTCCATAGCTTACCTTACCTTCTTTGGAGAACTAATTATTCGACATTGACACGGTAAATTATTCCACATTTGTTCCCTTGCTAAATTTTTCATGATTTTACATGCTACATGGTGTTCATAACAAGATCAATTTCTCTTTATGAAGCAGTTTAATTTTGTTCATGGGAGTGGAGATGTGCTGGAATATCTATCCTTCAAATAGCCTTTCGTCAGGGCTGCTTCTCTGCCTTCACTTAACCATACTGTGGGGCCTGTGGTCTGCTCAACCGGATTATCCCTATGTACAAGATACATCATCCACACACAAAGGCAAATGGAAGTTCTAAAGCCTCCTGTTTATTTTATTTCTGTGGAGGATAGGGACAAACTGTTTCTCCCTCTCACCTCCCTTCTAATGTATTTTTTTTTCTTGTTTTTTTAATCTTCATGTTTCATTTTGTTTAGGAATTCTTCTGTGCCAAATATGTTAGTCGTCAGGTTCCTGTGACAACTTTTTCGTATTAAAACCTCTCATTTGATAATTTACACCAAAAATTGTGGTAAACTTGAATCCAGGTCAAAGAAGGATATATCTCTTGAGTTAATTTTCTTTCCATCGTGGAAAATTATATCTTTTGCCCTAACATATGTAAAGGGTTATGGCGATGATGGGAATTGAAATAAGATAATAATTATGTACGGATCAATACGAGATTTTAAACAAACATACCCCTGGTTAAATGCTTTCCAAAGGTGTTTCCCTTAATGGAAATTATTTTTAATTTTATTGAGTTCAACATGCACATTTAATATTTCTTTTAATTTTAAAAGATGTGTTTGGTTTCTTTTTTAATATATTTTGTTTGATATTAGTTTTCATATTATGCAGAAAATATATTTATTCATGAAAATAAATTTAAAAGTTATTATTATACAAAATTATATTTTTAAAAATTACAAATATATTAATATGATGTACGATGAGTTTTAGAAAAAAATAATTTTTTAATCTTTTAATTTTTAATTTATTTATAAATTAATCTCTTAAATATGATTTATTGTGATTTAATTCTTTAACTTTTGACTCGTTTATAACTCAGTTTTTCAACTTTTAATTTATCTATAATTTAATCCTTTAACTTTTGTTAGTTCTTTTTTTATTTTTATGGTAGTTTAGATTCCATATTAAAGAGTGAAAGGAAGATATTTTAAAGCTATATATGACCATTTCTTTTAAAAAATAAAGACTAAATTGTAAATAAATCAAAAGTCATGAGATTGAGTTGTAATAAATTATAATTAAGAGATTAAGTTATAATAAGTTATAGTTGAGAGATTGAATTATAAATAAATTAAAAATTTTTAAATTTTATTTCTCCCCACGTGTTAACCACACGACAGAAAGCATTCTGTCTAGATGTAAAGCGATGGCATGATGATCTTGCCAGCCACTGGAAAGGGGAAAATTCAAATATGAATTTCAAGGTACATAGTAATTGAATATCCATCCAATAATATTAAAAAACATTTGAATGGAATCCCGCGGTTCTGAATCTCATCCTCTTTATAGTCCCAAATGACCAAATTACCCATGTACTAAAACTTGATACAAAAATAATAAAAAATAAAATTTTAGCAATTGATTCAAATTTTTAATTTCACCTCGTTTTTTCCATGGGCTAATGACTCTCGGGATGAGCCGATAAAGACTAGAGAGAACAGGATGAATTCATAAACTTCACAATTTATAAAGATAAGTAGTAATAGTAATATTAATTGAGCAATAACCCGTCTGGAAAGAAAATGGTGGTAGTTTTGTAATTGCACCTGGCGCGTCGGGTCTGTCGGGTTCGTCATGGCAAGCCTGACCTGGTAAGTGATATGTACTCCCTCGGTCCTCTCGCTCATTTCGTGACCTTGGAGCTTGTTAATTTCTGTGGAGTTCGTTTTAGAAATTCAACCTGCTTTGATCATGGTCTGGGTTTCTTTTCCTGATTTCATTTTGTTACCTGATATGTTTCCTGGATATCTTCTTCGTTTTGTTCTGTATTGTGATTCCTGATAGCAATTAGGGTTTATATAATTTAAGAACTATCCGAATAAATACATGCCCGTTGAGCCCCTGATCTTTCCCTTGGTCCGCATTTTTCTACTGTTAGGGTTTAGTCGCCGAATTTGGGTTGATTTTTGATCTTGTTGATGATTAGAGACTGAGCAAGCATTTCGAATTTTATGTCTGTCTGGTTAATTGTTTACTTGTTGGATCTTTGTGTTGTTCATTCTGTTTCCTTTTGTGCGGCTGCTTCTCTATTTGAGCTCATAGCAAGGTTACTTTGATTTAAACTGTACTTCACTGGTTAAGTTTCTACTCGTAATCCGATCCCGATCTCGTTCAATAAGTGACGAGTTTTTGTAATTCCATTTGGGCATTGTTTTGTTGGCTTTCTGACCACGGTCCCCCCAAACCAACCCTTCTTTTGACAGGATGGACATGACTCCGAAGATCCAAAGCAAAGCACTGCAGATATGACAGCCTTTGTAAGTTGTCAGCTCTACAGTTTGAAGGATTAATGGTTTTCTATAAATGCAATTGTTACTGTCAATTCCGTTAGAAAGTGATATTTAACACCTGGTATTTCTCAAACTGGCTTATTTGGAATTTCAATCCATTATCGATGAGGGATTGTCTTCTGGCATCCCAAAGTCCAAGATGAGAGCGAGAGTATGCAAATTGGTTTGTCTAATGTTGAAGTGGGAAAGCTTTTGCTTAGATAAATATTTTTGTGTTTTTTTTATGTCAATGAGTTCTGACTTTTATCTGGCCCTTTTGCCTTCAGGTGCAAAATCTTCTTCAGCAGATGGTGAGCTGTTTAGTGTAGACTCTCATTGTTACGTTGTTGGTTATCAGAATACATTCACCCATTGCTAACAAGATTTCTTTTTCCCCAGCAAACTAGGTTCCAGACTATGTCAGATTCCATAGTCACAAAGAATATCCTTTTTAAAATAAGTTAGTCTATGTGCTGCTTTATGTTTTGTGTATTTTGGTTGTGGAAGTTGTGCTGATTTTTTTCAAGTTTTTAACTCTAGCTCTCTTTCCATAATTTTCCAGTAACAGGATTAGAAGGTTAGAGGATAGAATACTAAAGGAGCTTGCATTTCTCGAACCTACTTTTAACATAAGATTTAAAAAAAAAAAACAAAAAACAAAAAAGTCATCAGAAATTTAACGGAATTTTTCTGTATTTGATTTTGAGGTCTTAGTATTCAGAGCAATGACATGTTGTCCTGGTAAAGCGGAACTGCATAATTGCTCATGGCTCACCAAAATATTGGTCTAGGCAGGATTTTATTGATATCTATTTTACATGATATTGTAATGGACTTTCTATCATTGCTGAAATGTTTTCCTTGACATCAATGTACTCGATGAGATGGGAAACCGTATAAACGAGTTGGAGCAAAGCATCAATGACCTTAAAGCGGAAATGGGTGTGGAGAGCTCACCATCCCCTGTGGCGCCTGCTAAGCCAAAGCAAGAAGAGGGATCTGCTTAAGTCACGTTCATGCTAAAGAACTTTTTGTTATTTTCTTGCATTACATCAGGATTTTGGTATTATGGCATTATCTACGGATGCATAGTGGTTCATTAAGCAGGTGTTTACTCAGGAATGGCTAGAGTGCGTTCTTTTGTATCTAAGTATCTCTTTGTTGGAAACAAGAAACGCGGTTTCCCGACTAATTGATTGTATTTCCCATTTGAGATGGACTTGATTGAGTACTGTTCGTGTGGGAAAGATTAAGGATACTTGATACTTCCATGTCTCATGTTGCGATTATTTTGTAATCCGTGTTCCCAAATTCCTAGCGAGATCTGGTGACCTGCGCTATCAGTGTTACTGTCACTCAGTTTGAGTTCTAATGAGTCGACAGATTTATTGGACGCTGATACAGGATTGTAATCGAGGTAACATGCATCAAATTTGATGTTTAGAGGGCACGGCAATTTTTGGTAATTTCTTGAATGGTTTTTAGGACCCCCACATATAACCCACTCATTGGAAAGAACAGTTCTACTGGCCCTCGTTTTGGGGCTGAGTGAGGCATATTTTGTGAAGATCATCAAATTTGCTTCGCGGATGATAGATACCTCCCGATTTACTCGTGTGTGGCTGGAAAATAGTGACAATGGCATCTGATCATAGAAACTCAACCACTTCTGTACCTTTTTTTCCTTTTCATGGTGACAGTTCAGTGCTTTGACATAAAGAGTCTAGGAACAGACGTTGAGTACATAAACTTGTATATTTAAGATATTTTATTCTAATCAAACAAGCACAAGGATTTGAATCTAGTCTGTAAAGTATCAGATACTTGCTTCGTTAGAAATTATAAGCATTTTTAATTATATTTTATCTTTTAATAAAGTAATTCTTACTTTCAAACTAATTTTATTTTTTTTATATTTATTTCTATTAAACACCCTACAATAAATATAAAGTCATTATCAATTAAGACAATGATTACACCTCAAAAAAGTAAAAATATTTTAAGTTTTTGAACATCTAACTCCTCAAAAAATGCCTTATATTTTTTAACAGAGGGAGTACATCCTTATTAATTAGATCAATTTTTGTTGGCTTCTATAACTAATTTTTTGTTATCAGAAAAATTTTCATCTAAGACTCCTTGATTATAGTTAATAAAATAGAGAGCATAAGAAATTCTAAAACATCATTTCAATTCAAAAGTATTAAATTAGAGTGAAATTAAAATGTTGAAGAAAATGACAAAATTAATTTTCTTTTAAATTAAATTAATAAAGTAAAACAACAGTTAATAGAGTAAAGAACAACAGTACATAGGCAAATGAACAATTCATCTTAACATGATGCAATATTTGGAATAAATCAAGTGCATGAAAACAGTAAATGAAATAAAATCAAGTGAGAGTAACATTATAAATAATTCTAGTATGCCGATGAACAACAATATGTAAACAAATGAACAACTCATTTTAACATGAAATCAATCTTTGGAATAAAATTAAGTTAAAGTAACGTTATAAACAACTTCAATAGATCAATGAACAACAATTCGTAAGGAAATGAACATCAGAATCTAAGCAAGTGAACAACTTATTTTAACATGAAAGCAATACGTGGAATAACATCAAGTGAAAATAACATTATAAACAATTCCAATAGGCTAATGAACAACAGTCCATAGAGAAATGAACAATGATACAAAAGCAAATAAACAACTCGTTTTAACGTAAAAGCAATACTTGAAATAAAATCTAGTGAAAGTAATGCTATAAACAATTTCAATTGGCTAATAAACTACAGTTCATAATGAATTGAACAATAGTACATACGCAAATGAACAACTCACTTAACATAATTTAGACATAATAAAATCAACATTAAGTCATGGCACAAACATCGAAGGCAGGGTAATGAACAACTTCATGTATAGAGATGGACAGTATTATGTAGGAAAATGAACAACTTATATTAATAAACTATCAATTACAGGAATGTCAAATGATTTTATCTAGATACTTTGTCCAATTTGTAAACAAGTGACCATATAAAATCTTTTTCTGTACAAATAAATCACTTTACAAAAGGCATTCCATGCCAGATAACCCCATTTATAAAAATCAACTCATATTGGTAAACCCCTTTTATAGAAGACAATCATAAATATATATATATATATATATATGAAATTGGAAGTATTTAATGAAATTTTCCACAAAAGTCCAATATATTGCATTAATAATTATAAAAAGAAAATTAACAACTCAGTGTACGTTAATTAGCAAGTTTGTTAATATGAATTTTGCAAGGAAGAGTGCAATACAGTGGCCGAAATAAATATTAAAAAACATATATAATCTCATTATTTGAATGAGTCAAGAAATTAAGCGCAAATAGAATGGTATAATGATAATAATAATAATGGCGAAATTTACATCAGTGCGCTTGAGAAGGGAAGGAATTAGGACCAAAATTAAGTTGTTCATGAATTCTTTTTTTCTTCTCCTAGCCCCTAAACATAAATATCACAAATTCACAACCTCGTTTCTAAATTCTAAGAGAGGAATTAAGATAGGCGATTCAAAATTTTCTTAGCATTCTCAGTTTCGACGTTCAAAATATGCAAGCAATGATCTTCTCCTTCCACTTCAAGTAAATCCACTTCACCTTCCCGTCCACTTTTCTTCACAGCCTCACAGTACGCAACCCCTTTGTCCCTAGGCTCATCTTCACCACAAAACACGCACAAGCATTCTTCAAAAGCTGCGGGAAGAGGGTGCTCTGGTGTAAGCTTGTATTCGACGGGGACGGCGATGGCATTAGCTTTGGAGATGATGAGATTGAGGTAGCAGTGTTTGATGTAGGAGAAGGCGTATACGAGGCAGAATCCACTGCTGTGAAAGTAGATGAAGATGGGAAGCTTTAATCAGCTGTTAGGCCGAGTGGATTTCGGGAGGTAGATGGTAGATACAAGCGGAGATTGAAGGGTCGTCAGAGATTGGCTCATCCAGTCCCTAGCTTCTGCCATCGTCCGCTGAGTTTCAGAGTGAGTGCGTTGGCGAGAGAGAGAGAGAGAAAGGAATTTTAAATTTTTTGTTTAAAAAAAATTTGAAAGAAGGTTGATCTTATCATTTGGCTCAACATTTTAATTCACTTTACTATGTTTAGTCTGGAGTCAAATTTCAGAATTTAAGAAGTTTTCTTTTTCATTAAATATGATCGATCGATCTTAAATGAAAATTTTGTTTTGTTAATTATATTAACTTGCTTTTAAATTTAAAACTGGTATGCTTTGACACACACATATACAAGTCTAAATATCCAAAACCTTTCAACACACGCATCGTAGAAGGAGGGGAGAAAAGAAATGAATTGCTCCAAATTTGAGACCTCACACTGAATTGTTCTTTGATATTTTTATCAGAGTAGCGCTTCTCTTTACTCACAATTTTGTGGAGAACGGTAATTTAAAAATACATCACTCCCATGTGATTAAACCACTACATCACACATCTATGTCTCAGCCGAAGTTTACTCACCCGGATCACTCCACCTTATATCGCCCAATTTCTGTGAAAAAAGGCGTAACTCATCGAAAAGTTCCCATCAAATGACTTCGGTCACAGTTTTGCGGTCGATTACTGTGGCCCTTGTGATCTGAGGTATGCGCTTCCTTATATCTTCAGTTGAGATTGTCGAAGGTGGAATTTAACTCATTTCTGCGCAGAGGTTTTGCAATCGAATTTGTCGCGTAAGAGCAGCAAATGTTCAATTGTTATTAATGATTGATTTACAAATTTCTGGAGTAGAATGCAAGTAATCATCAATTACTTTCTCCCACTTTTTCTTCTACAGCGGATAAATGAAGATTTCACCGGGCAATGCGAGTGGGAGATAAACTCCAGAAACAGAAATAAAGGGATAGGAATCTCAACAGGGAGGAGCACGCAAGAGAAATAACGGCAAATAGCATAGAATGCAACCATAACCTTGTAATTTAGAAGCTACAACTGCTTTACTAGTCTAGAATTCATTATTAGGACAAAACCTTGCTTATTAACTAATATCCTGACTATTCGAGTAGGGTATATACTATACAATCAAACGATCAATCAAGTCATTGATGATACAAAAATAAACTTGAAAGAGGCCCTCATGTCTGTTAAAGCCTAGTAAGTATCTTTACACCATCTACTGCGTTTTATTTGACAATATATTACACCGTTTGCATATGGATTCAGTTTTTCATAGATGCATCGTTCTCTTTTCACTTCACTCAAGCGTTTCAATAAAAGGCGGTTTAGTTTTGATCGATGCTTCAAGTGTGACTCCACGATCCCAAGAACATCAAGGTTCTAATCGGATCGTCTGCGCTCGCACGGTGGCTCCGTCCCCGTCTCTCAGTTTGATTACGCAAGAGAAGCCTAGGCTGCTTCAGAGAGTCGGCGGTGACGGCCACCACAGCTGCCTGGTAGACTTGTCGGAGCTTGTCGCCAATAGATTTAGCGGAGTCGTTGGGACGAGAAGCTTCGCCGGAGACAGGATGAGGTTTCATCCTCGAAGCCGTGAGAGGTTGCAATTACGAGGCTGGGATATTAGAAGCCAGAGAGTCGAGCCGTGGGGTCTATAAATAAGGAAATATCATGCTGTGCTGCCAATGCAACAATCTCTCTGTGCATGGTGGGTGGACCCGGATTCCTTTTGTATTTGGATTACAGATCATCTCCACTCTTGGGCACCATGATTAGCGACACCATTTTCTTTCTTTTTGAATTCCGGGTTCACACTTTACTGCACTTCATACAATTTTTCATTTCACAAGAAATACGGGTTTATCCTTTATACATTACTGTTCTTTTTCCCTTTGGAGAAACATTGCAATAGTTTTAGGACAAATTCTTTTTTGTTTTTTGCCCACATCAACAAAGAAAAAAAAGAACCAGTTACTTTATTATATTCCTTTACCGTTCTTTCATCTTTCAGACCACTTTATAAAAAATTCCATTCGGTGGACCGAAAATCGATATTTCAATTTGCTCTAACTACATCTTATTTGATGTGTATGAGTATCAAAGAAATATAAAAATGTATTTTTTTATTATAAAAAATAATTTTTTATATGCATCGAATACTTCAAAATCAAGCTCAATTCTGGTACCCGATACTTCAATGCATTCTTTTATCTAAATGAATTACAATATATATTACACTTATTAACAATATATAAACTAAAAACACCCCCACGGTAAATGCGTGATGAATGCCAGCTGAGAAATAAACGCAAAACAGCATAAATTCTTTA